CTTATGCTTCCACATAGCACAACCATGACAACACTTTCCATTGATTGTTGAAATGATAGAGACAACTCCATTTAACAAGGTGTGTCCTCTCTTCTGCCACGAACCATCAACGGAAACTGTACAGTTCATTGTTTCTTCATTTTTCTGCTCTCTTAGTCTTGCTGTTTCTTTGGCTGCTTTGGTCATAGATGCTTTATAAACACTCGTATATATACCATGCAAAACATTATTATTGTTTGTATAGGCTTTTAAAGAAATAGGTGGTGGCATATTTAATATTGAACTAAAAGATTTTATAGCTCTATGACCTCTACCAATGTCTCAAACCCAACACCATTTGAACATTAGTAGAAAAGAATTTTCTGTCACAATATTTTGTAATGTTATTTTTATTTTGAATATAAGTGATACTCTTGGACGTTTTAAAAGCTTTTTGCCATCGACAAGAATCTGAAGTACATGATAGTTGTAGTTCTAAACAAAATCCTTGTCGCTTAACTTCATTATTTTCAAGATTAACATAACTTCCACAGTCTAAGAAACTAATGATTTCTTTTATCAAAGATTTTAATAAACTAAAATTACTTATAATATTATAATCATCTTTGTCTACAGGATCAATAGAGTCAAGTTTTATTTTTCCTGAACTTGAGTTACGAGTTGAAGGTAAAGAATTAGATGCTAAATTTTGTTCAAGTGCTAAATTATCTTCTTTTTGTGTGTACCGATTGCAAGCAAACGATCTCTTTTTTGTTTTAGACGAGTTCTTTGCATATTATTTAATAAAACTTCTTAATTAAAACTGTTTCTACAAAAAGTGTTATAATCACATATAAACAAAGCATTATTTTTAAGACTTACAGTCATTCTGGGTAACTTTGAATTTGCGGGTAACATTGAACTAAACGTGTAAATGTTTTTAAATTTTTTTTTCTTTGGTATTTTCTTTGCCTGTTGCTTTAACAAAGAATAATACGATGAATTATCTTTTTTTACAAAAGTTTGACCAAAGAAAATTAAATTAATTTCCAGTTACACAGTCAAATGTGGTGATAACATCGTGTGTTTTCAATTTAGAATATTTGATATTATATTGTAATTACCTGAATAGATTTTTAAGTATTTTATTGAATTATTTTTCGAACTTTAATACAAACTCAAAATAATAGGATTTAACATGTTTTTTGCTACAAAAAGGATATTTATTTCCACTTAGCTAAAATATAACCAAACCGTGAAATAGAGTTGCAAGCGCTGATGATTTTATGGCAACTAAATCACCAGTATTCTGTCTAATTGCCAAACCAAAGAAATTTTGCAGTCGATCAATTGTCGAATCTGTCAATCTTCCACGACCACCAAGTCCTTTCACTTTTTTTTTCAATTTTCAAAATCGGGTTCCAACACGCTTCTGGTAGTGCCCAACACATTCTAATTTAGTCACTTGAGTACCAGGAAAAACATTCTTGACGCTATTGTAGCTTTTGCTATCTCCGTTACCCAAAAAGTTAATGTATTTTAATTTGTGTTTTCTAATAGATTGCTGGAAAATGCGGTTCTCTCCTTCGCATTGCATTCCACTTGCAGAACCAATATAGTTCATTTTGCAAATATGGGAATTTTTCCACTGGACATAAGCAGTATGATCTTTTTTAGCAAGGTTCTGATTTAAAGAGCATCCCCTGCACTCGACTCATTACCTCAACATCTAATACTTTCCCACTGTCCATTGAGAGTGCTGCAAATACACCATTTAATGAGGAAAAATCCCTACGCTGCCATGTGCCGTCACACGATACACCAATATCCAAAATCTCATCATCATTTTGACAATTTTGTCTTGAATCAGCTGCAGCATCAGCCATTGTTTCCTGTGCAACATCCTCTGTAATATCAGCTATTTTCAAAACAATTTTTATCAGTTTTTTTGCGTCATTAGCCTTTGCATGTTCATGAGAGTTGTAAATTTTTTAATTCCAGAATGTCCTATTCCAAGAGTTCTCATTGTGTATATTGTTCGTGTATTTATATCAAAGCTTCCTTTTTTATTTAACAATTTAGAAGTATAAAAGTCATTTTGATACTTACATTTTAAACAAACAATTGAAATTTCCTAAGCAAGTCCTCGCTTTTTGCTAATGTTTTCAATTACTGCTAATGTTGTTTGGAAGCAAGTTAGGCAACTCAGAACGCTTACAACATCTGACAAAATAGAACAGTCAATTATTCTATAACCTGTCACTTTGTTTTTGATATGCACTGCAAAAAATGAATTCTTATTTTAAGAAAAAAATTGCTTACCATACTGACAAGTAAAAATTTGCTTGTTTTAAGTAAATAATTGCTTAAAAGAAGATCTTTTTTGCTTAAAATAAGAAGTCATTTTAAAATGAATTCTTATTTTAAGCAAAAATAAACTTTTTTTTTGAAAAAAATTGCTCACCATACTGAAAAGTAAAAAATTGCTTGTTTTAGGTTAAAAATTGCTTAAAAATAAGAATTCATTTTTTGCAGTGTGGGCATGACTTTGCAGTGTTGAGTTGAAAAGCGGTTCAACTTTATGAAAAGAAGAATTCGACGTACTGAAGATGTTTGTTTGATTAACAACAAAAGATTCAATAATATCACTTAAAGATGGAGGATTTACAATATTAACAATATTACTGTAACGCAGCACCTTTCCATTAAAAACCTTTTTTCTTTTTACTGCTCCTTTTGTTCTTGATTTAACTCTATCTATTTTTACCAAGTTAAAAAATTTAAAAAAAGTTAATTTTTGTTAAGGAGTTTCGATAAAAATTGAGCCAAATCTCGACAAAAAACAAACTTTTTATTCTATTTTTTAAAATCAAACCAGAAGCCAAATAGGCTTTTTAATACCGATCTTTCTTTGCTACAGAACTCATTTATGTCATAAAGTCATTCGGTGTACCACAAGAGGTAAATTTACTATTTGAAAACAACTTTTTTTACAACTTAAAAAAATGCAAAATTTTAATACTTAGAAAATTTTTTAGCCATGATTTTTGATTTCCCGTATATTTAAGTATCTAAAACAGTCCAGTTATTTTTTTGATTTTTTGAAACTTTTTGGGGGTTTATATCCCTTAACAACTTAATTAATATTTGTTTAGGATAGGAGGTAAATACCGTCAGCTTACTACAAGTAATTGAATTATAATCATCACTCAATCTCAATGGAACAAACGGAAACACAAACAAAAACTCATCATTGGCATCGGAGTTCTCAAACCTTTGCTTATTGTACTCTGGCCAGAACTTCCGTTACATCCCCATTTGCCTATTAATGTAAGAGACAAATTAGAGGATGCATTTTGGGAAATCGATTTTGTGTTTCAATTAAACGTTTAGATGTTTTATTCAATATGGAAAAAAATTTAATTTTAGCTCGTGTTTCTGTGACAGAAATAAATTCTTCTGGAGAGTTACACAATCTTTTGGATTCATATAAATTATAGTAAGACGGAAACACTTCATGCTCTGATTTCATTGACCACTTTTTTGTTTGTTTATAAGAGTGACTAGTACACAAGGAATTTACTCAATAAGCTAGTACCTCATGCTACTTAATTGCCTGGTA